GTTTTACACCAGGCTTTTTATTCTTTTAGCAACAAACAAGCAAGCAACTTATGCCAGTTGTGTGAAATAACTAAAATGGTAAGTTCTTTTGCTGTTGGTGTAGCTATTGACTATGTACAAGTTTTTTATTATTTGTGGTTAATAAATGCCAATCTTTAATATGACTTTGTTACTGTTTCACGGACAAAAATGTCAGTAGTAAAAAAATACAACAAAAAAACAACAAACAAATGATATACAAAGATAAAATCATTGTAGTCATTTCCTTTTAATTGAATAGATTACTTACACAAATTGTAAATAATGGAATATTGTCAAGATTATTTTGCCAAAGAAAAAAATAAAATATGGTATTCATTGTTGTGTAAATATTTTTAATTTCTGAAAAGTGTTTATTTACATTGTAAACCATTGCAAGTTATTTATATCGTTAAAGAATATGTGCAGTTATATTTGTTAAAAAATAGGCAAATATTGCCAATTGTGTTTTTTTTTTCAACTAGAAGTGATAAAAACGTTCCAGTCAAAATGTGTGCAGAGGTGTATGTTTTGATGAAAATCTAGCTGAATAGAGGATTTTTCCAATGGTAATATTTCTAATTACTACTGAGTAGTCTTGTAAGCCAGATGAAATAATTATTTAGCTAGCAAAACAGTTCATAAATTAGTTTTATATTTTTAATGTTCTTTAGAAAATCTTAAGAATAGATCACACAACAATTTGGTCAAGATTTGTGCAGCCATTTGTAAATACAAATCTGGAGAAATGTAAACATGCATATGCATGCATTTTTTTATAATATATTTGAAAGAAAGTTAACTATTGTTTCTATATCAAGAATTATTTAAACATTGGAAAAGAAGCAAGAAAATAATGTTCACCTGAAGTAGCATTATTACTTGATGTAAATTTTAATTGGAATGTTGTCCAATCCTCACCAGTTGACATTTCATTGGCTTATTACTCAAAAAATTTGGAAAGATTAAAAATATTTCAGAATCAGATGTAAAATAGGCAGGATCTAGTTCAATCTTAAGCAGGTTTAAAAAAAAAAAATCAAGTTTACATGTGAAAAAAAAAAAAAAAAGAAAACTTACTGAGGATGGAGTATTTTAAAAACAGTAAGTAATTCATTCATACAAAATTTTGCATATTAACAAGAGCATGGTTTTGGAAATGTTCATATTTCACACAGAATTTAATTTGAAACAACAAAGATGGAAAAAAAATATTAAAAATTGAAACCTAAAGAGATTCATTTATTTTTCCTCCTCATTTTGATTTTCATTTATACTATAAATAAAAATTTGAATTTTATATAAAAACATTGATGAATTCAAAGAGCAGAAAATGCTGAAAACTGCTCTGCTTTTCTTGTAGAAACTTCATGACCAACCATGAGAGAAGTTATCATGTTTCTTTAAAACAATCAAATGAGAAAGAAATGTTTTTAAGGCTCCTGGATGAGATTTGATTGATAATTAAGAATATAAATTAAATTGTTCATGTCAATTTTTCAAATGAAAATTTTCCATTTGGAGTCCTATATTCATCTTAGTTGTTATACTTGTAATGTTTTGGCCTTTTTTCAGGTCTTAATTATGCTCAGTAATCTTGAAATTTGAAACTGAAGCCTTTATTCGCTTTATGGAGAAGATTGTTCTCATTTTATTTTCTATGCTTAAGGGCTATCTTATATCAGTTGATACTCTCAAGTTTTATTCATCTTTGTGTTAATTGACTATTTCTTCCATTGAGCCAGAGTATATATAACTTTCCACACTACCTGAACTAAGAGATGTGGGGCCTTGTGGATTAAAGCATCAGTTAAAACATATTTGGTTCCCTGGCAGTTGTAAGTTCAGTCTGTTAAACAATTAGAGAAAATTAACTGAGCTTCATTAAGTTTGAAAAGCAGAATGAGAACCAACTATCCTTGCAGATTAGATAAAAGCTTCAGGTCAAAGTTCAAAAAAGTTACAGAGTACAACAGACATCTGAAATAAGATACAGGATGCAACAGCTGAAAAGTTGCGACTCTAACAACCAAGACAAGTATACTAGTAAAAGCATACAATAATGAATTGTTGAATAATAGTGATAAAAAATTATAAAAGACTGAGTTTTAGAAGAGTACATAAGTACTTAAAAAAAAAATATATTTAATAGATTATTACCATCTCTCTTTCTTTCTCTCACGCACACATGCATACACGTGGGTTATGAAATATTCTTGACCCAACCCACTTCTCAAAATCTGACTAAAGTTTTTGGTTGGGGCCAATAAATTTACAGCATCCCCTCATATATATTTACACAAAGATATATACATACAAATAGTTTTAAGTACAGAAAGTATTATAAACTGTGAACATTGCTGAGTCAGTAATATTTCTTAAAAGAAAATGAATTTCTAGAAATCTTAAGCCCATTTCTTATTGCCAGCATAAAAATAATCAAATTTATTTGCCAAATTTCAGAACATTACAAGTTGTATGTGCTTCAAAGTTTAAACTTTTTATTTTTCAGGCTAGAGTCTAAATTCCGTGTTCTTAGTGTCACAATATTTCAGATGGACAATTCAGTTTTTAGTATATATTTTGTTTAAAAAGTATACCTTTGTGAAAAAATTAATATCATTTTTAGGAAAAAAAGAGGATTACCAAATGAAAAAGAAAAATGGGTTACACTTCATTTCAAATAACATTTTAACATCACCCACAAGACGATCCAAGCATTGAAGGTAGGGTAGAAAAAAAATGGAGGTAGAAGGACGTATAATGCCAATCTTTCAATAGACAAAACTGCTTACGTCTAGTCAATCAGCATTCAAAATCCTGGCTTTTTAGCTGGGCTTGAACACTAACCTCTGGCAAACTATTTCAGTTATGAGGTAGGCCACATCTTACCATTACATCACAGATGTAACTTTGACTGTCACATATTTTATATTACCATACAAGCAAGCTAAGAATTTAAGGTGATTCTTGCAGAATGATAGTAGGAGTATTTGTAAGAAATTGTTTAGCATGTTAGTATTGTAACTCAATCAGCGTGTTTTCCACTGGGTATTCCTAGGACATAACTTTTCATTCATCCAAATTAGCTTATTCAGACAAACATTTAACAATAGTAATAACACTAAGAATAATTTGGAAGTGTGATAGTAGCCTTAGTAATAAAGATGAAGGTAACTAAAAACTGACAAATGTAAGGGAGGAAGGAAAATTCTTGCTCAGTGGAAAAGTCAGGTATTGGAAAATTGTGTGCCTGTTTATTTTGATAAAATCTTGTAACTAATAAATTTTTTTGATTAAAGAAGCAAAGTTCTTGACAAAACCAGATTGATAGCTAAAAGAGAAAGCACATGATAAATACATAAGCTTTTCTCAGAAGTTGTATAACCACATATGATAATTACAAAAATTCACAGAGTTAGGTCAACCTGAGAGAAGCTTCAAGGGAGACGGGTCTTTTCAGCCTTCATGTAAACAGTCATATATCATTCTACATATCATTTTTCAAGATTCAGGCTACATATTAATGTGATGTCTCTGCAATCTTCTATGTGCTTTCTCCCTTCAAGACATGGACGATCATGGCTCTCCACAATTTCCTGTCCTTTGTACCTCTTAGTAAAGTTTGTCTTTGCTATCTTTCCTAATCCCTCTTCTGCCAACCATTTACACAAGCTTGTAATGCACAGATTTCCTCTGTCCCTTCTGCTTGTAATATGTCCTGTGAGTGTCAAATTTTCTAAACCCTCTTTCCTCCTAGAAATTTCAACATTTTCTGATTTTATAAGTGTTCTTTTTGTTTCCATTTTCTCTAAAACTTTGTCATTGCACACATGTTCAGTTCACAATATTCTCAGCATCCTTCTGTAGAACCACATTTCTGTTGCCTCAAATCTTTTCTTAATCTGTGAAGAGATTGTCCAGCATTCACTGCTGCATAGGAGGACTGATATGACATAGAAAAAAAGAAAAGACTATTGGACTAATATCTTTGCTACTGTCTTAAATAGACCTGTTCGTCTCTTTCTGTTGCTTTATCAATTGCTTTTGGTCCTCGTTATTTATAATTAGATTATAACATCCACCACAATATGAGGGTAAAATAATAATGCAAATTAGTTTGTAAATGGTTTCTAATCTTAATATGAAAATCAACACACAAAGAACTGAACAAAGATTTCTCCAGGGAATCTATAAAGACACCTGTTTGTATAGATACATGCAAGTGTAAATGTATTGTTGTAAGAATTAAAAAAGTAAATAAAATGTAGAGAAATATTCATTTATACTAATTACATCACACTGATTTCCAACTAAAAAAGGGATATAAAATCATCCATTGTTTTTCAATAATTACAAATATTTGATTGATGGAAATTACTGAAATAGAATTATTTCACCATAACCTGAGTATTTCAATAATCATTTCATATTATGTAATTATTAGCATGCTTTTACGGCATTAAGAGGATTTAAAAAAAAAAAAAAACTCTTTTCTCTCTCTCTCTCTCTCTCACACACAAAAAAGGAGCATGACTAGTTTAGCAGGAATAGTTACAGAATTAAATCCTACTACTTCATTTATTGTGGGCATTTGTGCTTTTTAAAACTATGTATACACATATCACTGAAACTATCAGGTCAAACTTTGGGGGGTGGATAAATTTGGGTTTTAAACAAAAAAATAAATGGTGAGGAATTTTGTCAAAACAGATAAAGGAAAAAAATATATATATATATTTTTCAAAGAGTAGGAAGAAGTGGAAATATTATCCCTAAAAATGTTCAATGCTTAGAACCAGATTGAATGAGTACAGTGTGTGTAGTGGTTGGCTGAGGAATGTGGGTAAGGATAAGATATAAAATGCTAGCTGACAAAGAGAAAAGAACACTTGGCTGGGCATATAAAAAAAAAAAAGATTGCAGTAGAATTTCTTATTCCTAAATGTTGTAGGCATTGTTTTTACTTCTGCTTGCCTTTATTAGGAGACAACACATCCACTGGTATTTTTAGGGTCCTTATCTGACATTGGGTATTCTTTTTCTTTCACTTGTGGAAGTTCCTCAGGTTTTGCAGTCTCTTTCTATAAAAGAAAAAAGAAAAATTAAAGAATAAACTTATTTTCAATACAAATTTATAATTGATGTTTTTTTTTCATAAATGCTAGTTAAGAGAAAGAAATCTTTAGCTAATCAGAAAAAAACATTTTGAATTTCAATCTTAGTTGTGTATGTATGATAAATATAATTTTTAAGGTATGCTATTTCATGGGAGAAGTATGTAAATATATGCAGTGTGGTCATTAGATGGTTAATTGTTATCATCAGGACCTAGACATGTGTGTTGAAGTATTTATGCCTATCCACACTGCTTTGCACATATATACACAAGGGATTGCTGGAAAGTTTTTGTCTTAACTAATAAGTCAAAAATTTTAAAAGTGATTTTGAGAAGAGAACTTTTCAGCACACACAAAATGTGGATAAATATGTATATAAAAAAATATTTAAGTGAGACCTTCAATGTTTAGAACTTTTAGATAAAACTGAGAATCAATCACTAATGTCACACATCCAAATAATATGAAACCAAAAAACTTTTTTTTTTCCAATTACCATATTTGTACAATCAGATAACAAATCTGTATGGTATATGCTTGTGTGGATGTGAATGTGCATATATTGCATATAAGGTTAAAAAACCTTTATCAGTGCTTGTCACTGTCTTGTTTAAACAAGTACAAAAAATTAATTTCTGGGATGAGGAGTTATTTGCATTATTTACTTTTGGACTAATGTCATCATCTTTGTTGTTGCTATATATATGTGTGTGTGTGTGTGTGTGTGTGTGTGTGTGTGTGTGTGTGTGTAATGTATATGTAGGATTTTCACAAGTGTATATGTGGTAGATATGAGAAAAAAAACAAAATCTTTAATATTACCTTCAAATATCTTAATTTGAAACCTAAACTTTAAGTAAGGAAGATTACCCATCTAAAAATAGTTACAAATTACATTCATGAATTAGATTCAAACTGATAAAGATGTTACCTTTAACAGTCTTTTACAATATTAAAAGATTACTATCGGTTAACTGTTATATTTTTAAGAAAATTTTTTAATGTGTTCTCTATGAATGTGTTAATAAATACAGTATTTAACTTATATTAAATCCCTAAATTATTTGTAAAAAAGAGTTAAATATTTAAATTGCTAGAAAAAAATCAAATTAATTTCTTCATAGATTTTTTTAGACATTTAAATTACTATCAAACATTAAAAGCTATTTTTTTTTACATAAATTGCTAAAACTATACCACCCCTCTCCTTCCTATGTGAAACCTATTTACAGCCTCTTTCTCTTTTCTTTTTCTTTCTTCTCCCCTCCCTTTTCAATATATCACTTCCACTAAGTTAACCAATTAAATAGGTCAAAGTCTAGTCCCTCTTCCCCCAATACTAAGTATGATTGAAAGAAATATTAAATTAAACCCTCTCTAAACTCGACCATGTCTCTCAAACCACCACTCATTATCTCCTCTGTTAAATTACAAAAACTTACATCAAAAGTATGAATTTTCATTTCGCTTCATCTTTTGGAAGTGCTATCTGATGATCCAGAGTCCTTTAAAAGGGCTCTGGTGAAATAAATTATTATAATGGAACCTTAAAAGCGGTCTGTTTTTTTCTTTAAAATATATATATATATATATATATATATATATATATATATATATATATATAATATAAAATGAAATAAAAGTGAATGATATAAAAATATTTCTCACACAAATTATCTTTCAAATATTAACAAAATATCAATTTCATATATGCTGTCATTTTTTTTACAGGTAAAATTACATGAATATGCAAACTGATAAAATGTTGAAATCTTTGGAAATTTAATTTTATTTGAATTTCCACTGTTGATATTATCAACAGCTTTTTAAAACACTTTCATTCTATGTAATTTTATATCAATGTTTCCACACCTCCACAAGCCAGAATATTTTACATTAGCATATAACAAGTATAAAGAATATTTATCCAAGACAGAACACAAACCAAAGTACCATTTTGATCAATGTTTAAAAAGAAAAAAATTGTCCCTTACTTTTTGCTGCATGTTGACAACTCCTGTGTTTGGAACAGAAAACTTTTGATAGATAGCTGCTGACCAGACAGAGTTGAGAGGTACAGGCTGGTATTCCTCAGGACTAACTAATCCATATGTGGCTTTCAATTCAATAACTGGGGCATCAAAAGGGACTTTTTGATGATAACTAACAAAATCAGATGAACACAAATGCAGATTATTACCATTGTTGTTAATAATAGTACATGAAATAGGTGAATTATACTCAAGTTTACAACATTAAAATAAGTGATTTTGTCTTATTCAAATAATTTTTCTTTTCATTTCACTTCAAGCAAAGCAATGATGCCACTAAGACATCATAGAATGAAAGAGAACGATAAGACATTAGTGAGGAGAAAGGACAGGATTTAGGAAGACAGAAGAAAAACTATAAAAAAAAGGACTTATAGCTACATCTAGATATTTCACTAGTAAAATGATAAGAGCTAGTTAACAATCCAGTAGTACACTTAAATTCATGTAGTTAAGGTACCAAAGAGAACAATTGCCATGAAAATATTTATAGAAAAGACAGTGGGAAGTCACATCAGGATGATGGAGAAAATGACGGAAGTCAAGATTTCAGGTCACAACCGATAACATTACAAACCCATTTTTGGATTTTGTTGAGAATCTTGAGATATACAACAGGAGCTCCAGACCAGATATAGCAGCATATTCAATGCACAGATGAATGGTAGATTTATAAATGTGCAAGATGGATTGTGGTGAGAAAAATTTTCTGGCTTGCCAGAATGAATCAACTTTCCTAGCAGCAGTTGGTTCAATATAATCACTCCACTTCTTGTCAGTGGAAAACCAAGAAGGTGCAAGGAGTTGCATCGGGTTAGCATCAGCCATGCCTATGGAAAGCAAAAATGGTTCTCTGTCTAAAAGATAGCAGTTTCATTTTAAAGGCATTAAACTTTACAAGCCATTTCTTACCCCAGTTAACAACTGATTGGAGGTCATTTTTGAGAGCAGCAGCCAGCTATACTTAATTAAAACTATTAGAATTACTATTAAGACAGGGGTAAACAGTTGTGTCATCAGCATAAATACAGAGTTGGGAACTGAAGATATCAGGAAGATGTTCATGAAGATAAGAAACAATGTAGGTCCAAAGATAGATTAATGTGAAGAGATCTAGAAGTGTGGATGTTCAACATGACTTTCATAACATGATTTTTAAGAATGATTGGATAAAGTCAAATATTCAGCCAGAGATACAACAGCTCTTGAGTGTGTGAAGAAGAGCATCAAGCCAAACCCTGTCAAACATCTTTGAGATATTTAAAGCCACAGCCGGAGCCTAGATGTTCTCATCTAAAACTTGATAAATTAATTCAGTAAGTAAAATAAATTCATAGGAAAAAAACTTACATCATTCCATTTTCTCTTTGACATTTTTCCAGTGTTCGTCGTACTTTTGGTCCTAAACTTCTGAAAAACAAATGATCCTGGGGTTTTGCATTTGTTGCACCACCTTTCATTGAAGAATACTCTTTACACTGGATCCCAGATTTTTCAAAACCTGGATGAAAATGAAGGCAACACATTTTGTAAATTTTATGGAGTTTGAAGCTCTGAACAGAAAATTGGGTTTTGATATTAAAACAATGATATTTGCTTCTACCTATTCCCACTGATAAGCTATGAAGAAGACAACCAAATATTACTAGAAATATTCCCACAAAACACAGACTGCATCTTTAGGCAGATAATAAAATTGATAAGAGATTAGTTAATCCACTCATTATTGTATCATTCTATGCATTTATGTGGGTAAATACAGTCTCCGTAAGATATTACTCCCTAGGTCTATGTCACATGCATACACTCACACATACACACAAATAGCCATCAATTATTTGCATAAAGGCTGAACTTTCTCTCATTAATGAATACTACAGTTTATCATTTGATCCTCCAGGTGAACATTTTGCAATACCATTATACATGTTGTGGTTTAAGTGGAAATCTGAACAGAGACACATCATGTGCCCATTGTCCTGTTGCAAGTAAAGGATTCCAAATGGTTTATATCAATGGTTTCCAAACAGTATGGTGCACCTAACAGGTGAGGCAGAATGATTGAAAACCAATTAAAGATTTAGAAACAGTTTCAAAAAATTCATATATCAAAAATAAATATTTAAAATATTATTATGAATTACTTTTAATTGCTTGTATGAGTCCCAGTATAAATAGTTAGAAATAATTATTGACCGATTTTATCAGAGTGGTATTTTTGGATTATATCAATTATTAAGAATATAGTAACTAGAGTCGCAAATTGGAGGAGAGAGTTATCAATGATAATGTTCTGACTTTGAATCCACGGTTATCTCCCTTGAACCCATGTTTCTGTTTTTTATTTTTAAATATACTTTTTATCATATGAAATTTGGTGAGGCATGAGTAAATCTTAATTCCAAAAATGCAACCCAGAGAAAGAAAAAGTTTGGGAACTACTGGTCTATATTGACACTCCAGGAAACACATTTTCTTAATAAGCATCTGTACCAAATGGGCATCCAGAACCAGGTCTACAAGTGTAGGAATGTTAGTTTGACCATTGTTTTCAAAATCAAAACACCACTGTTGCCTCATATCCAATATGTGCACTAATTCTTTGAAATTACTATCCAGCCCCCTCCCACCCAAAGATGGCTCACACAAACCAACCCCACTCAAATGTCTCCAGATGAACACAAAGAGCATGTGAACATCTTTATAGCATGACTCCTACTTGCAATGAACTCCTTCACCACACTGAACATTATCATAGCAAGTGGCACAATCTAAAGCTCAGATAAAAACAGTGCAATAGTATGGCTCACACTACATCACAAGATAGCTGAAAACTTGTAATTTTTTTCCAGAATATCTATTACCCACTAAGTATGCATTTATTTAGCAAGAGTAAAATGGATACCATCTTCTAAGGTGCTACAATATTTTTAAGACAAATATACAATGTGAATCTCAGCTTATAATGTTTTTATTAGAAATATTTATAATAAATTATTTGGTGGTGTTAAATTTTATGCAACTCAAGGACTGTTCATATATATATATATATATATATATATATATATATATATATATATATACACACAATGGTATATTTACTATTTCTATGTACTAGTATAGTTATAGATATTTATTTTTTAATTTCATTACAAACACACATGCACACACAAATACATGATTGCCATTGGTCATAAAGAAGATATAAACTCAAAAGAGAAACAAGATATTAAAAAGTTATTGAGTGGAGAATACAACACTGGAAATTGCAAAAAAAAATGAACAAAGCTCATAGAACAATTACAAAAGAAACTGAAAACATTCACAAGTTAAGAACTAAAAACAAAACTGGCTTTAAAGGGAGTTGAGAAAAATGAAATATAGCAATAGGCAAAAAAAAAAAAAAAAAAAAAATGGATTGACCAACCAAAAAAATATTTGAAGAGTTACAAGTGTAAGCAGAAAAACATGACAAGACAACAGTGGGGGAGGTGGAGTAATGTTTGGAGCTAATACTGTAAGCAGTAAAATTATAGGTCCCTTGAAAATTGATGAGTTTAAGATAAATGCAAAGAATTATTGTAAATTCTTGGATAAGATGTTTATTGAGTGGTAGAGGTCATGGCCAAGATTATGCAAAATTTGTGTTTATGTTGGCACACTATGTCCTCCTCCACCAATATTTTGAATTCATGTATGCATCACCATCCAGCCTCTTCAGACATTCTTACAATAGAAACTTTGTTAACAACAATATTCCTAATGTAAATAGTGTAAATAATGATAACGCCTCATGCCAGAAATTCAGACAGAAAAGAAAACTTGTGCTTTATCATTACAAGATTATGAGAATGGAAAACAAAAATCTCTGGGAAGCAATAAAAACAGCTTCAAGTGCTGTTAAAAGTCAAAACAGTAGAAAAATTAATAAAATCAATAATGGAAAAACTGACAAAGGTTATAGAATGTAAAGGAGGTGACATTAACATAAAATATTTATTTATATATTTATCTCACCTAAAGAAAAAGAATTTATATACACTGAAATTTTTGTGGTTTTTATAACAATAAAATCTGATCACACCTGACAAAAAATATTATCAATATTTAGATGAGAATAGATATAAACTGAAACTCACATAATATATTGCTTATATAAATTTAAATATATACAGAAAAATTTACCAAAATTGTTTGGTTAATTGCAATTTTAATTTGAATACATTGATTTGCATAACATCCAACTGTATATGTATAGAAAATAGGTGTGCAATAAAATGTTCAGGTATTTGTAAGTGTTTCTATTAAACTTACATTTTGTGGCTTCTTCAAGGCATTTTATAGCTTCACCACATTTATCCTGGGCCAGCAGTATCTCACCGTGGTAATTGTAAGCCTGATATGACAAAGGATAAAATAATTTATACCTAAAAAAAGTTGATATGGTTTGTAGATTTAAAGATATGGAAATAATTTAGGTTCAATTTATGGTTATCAGTGCAATCAAGTGGTATGAATTTTAGTGTAGATCCTATTTGTTGACTTAGTAACACAATGATATTTGGGAAAAAAAAATTAGTTGACGATTTTTTAAGAAATATCTTAAAGGTTAACATTTAAATATCTTAAAGGTTAACATTTTCTAGATAAGCAGTTACATGAAAGAGAGAAATAGTTTTAAGTTGGACTATAGAATAACTGTGTTAAAAGTAGATCAGCTTATATCAATTCTACCAATCTTTATTAGAAAAACTATATAAAATTAGCTCTTGTGACTCATTAAAATTGTGTTGAAAACATGGGAAGATGTGCAATCATCAAATAATCCAGTGGTTCTTAACCTTTGTAAATATTTGCACAAACTGGTGATCTCCATGTTCACATTTCATTGTTAAATGGAACAGATTTAATGCAAATTAATGTCACTAACTGCAGTGTAACAGTTAAGCTATGGTCACTGTGCCAGACCACAGAAACTGTTGGATTTGGACACAAGCTTTTGCTTTAGCCTAAAAGTGAACATAATAGACTAAAGTGCAATTTGAATTCAGATCAACTTCCTTAATTAATAACAGTTATGATAAACACATATGTCATAAGAATTAAATAAGTTAACTGTCTTCTTGAAATTATATCTGCACTCCATATTGCCCTTAAACACATGCTGGGATTTATTCTACTTTGTTTAATCCAATTATACTTACATAGGCTAAATAGAAATTGCTCTTGAGCTGGAAATATTTCCTCCATTTGTTGAAAGCATCTCCTTCTAAAGTTGAAATTGAATCATCTAGATGGTTAAAAAAATGTTTTAATGTAAGTGTTTCAAGAAGTCAACAATATTTAGCTCATTTATACTTTAAATAAAGTTTCCAGAATTCAAATGAATGCATGAGAAGATTAAAAAAAACATTTAAGTAGTAATTAAACTGGTTAAATGGAAGTTAGGAAAGTATCATACCAGCTTTAGTGAACATTTGAGAAGTTTCATAGGCTAGAGCTGCAATCAGGCTGGCTGCATGTTTTAATTCAATTGCTCGAGCAGTGGTCACTAGAAATAAACAAAGGCAAAATTAAAGATCAATTTCAATATCAAAATTTCTCTGAAGATTGTTTTTGAAGTGCCTCCCTCAAAAGTAGACCAAAAGTGACACAAGCATCAAATCATTTTCACACTTGTACCTCTGCCTGTGTTCAATGTCACACCCAATTTAGGCCTTCATTTTTTTTAACAATTCAAAATATTTTTTTAATCATTTCACTCCAAGCAAGGCAAAAAAGCCACTAAGACACAAGGGGCTACTGAGTGTTAGAGAATATGATAAAAAACTACTATTAAGGAGAGAGAATAATAAAAGAACAAGAATTAAGAAGACATTTAAATTTTTGAAGATCAATGTTGACTGGGAAGCAAAAAGCTGGAAGAGATTCCTACAAACAAAAAGTGTGATAGAAGAAACTGTATAGAACTTACAGTTACATCTAGCAGCCATTTCAACTATAAAATAATGAGACCTTGCCACCAATTTAGTACTGTGTTCAAATTCATAAAGTCTAAAACAATTACTATGAAAGTAGTTATAGGAAAGCCACAACTGAGCTATGTTATAGTGCTGGGAAAATAACTGAAGGTAAGATTCCAGGTCAGGACCAATTACAGATTCTACTTTGGATTTTATCAAGAATCTCTAAATGTATAGCAGGAGCACCAGACTGTGGCAGCAGTATCTGAAGCAAGGAGGAGGCGGAATAATAATGATGATGATAATAATAATAAAGTACTTTAACAATTTTAATTTATCACTGACAGTATAATTTATTCAAGGTACAAAAAAAAAAAAAAAAAAAAACAGTAACAAATAATTTATTCCTGAATATAACTGATTTTAACATTTTGTAAGATTGACTACAGAGTAAGAAGAAATGAAAAAACTGTCAAAGATCTACATCTCAGTGCAAAATACATTTTAGGTTAAAGTAATTCCTAACATAAATCTTAAAGATATTTGTTATACCCAGCAAACATTAGTAAAACATCATATTCATAGAGTATTCAGTGATGAATGAACCTACTAACAATGGTTAGTCTAAAATATTAGTACTCAACAGGTATATACAATGTTTGATCAATAAGTTGGATACAGTTATCTGAATTTTGATCTGAAATTTTCACAATATCATTTTTTATCTATGAAAAAGCTTTGAGTTAAGTGCATTGACAAGGAAAGAATTTATGTTAAAAATATTTGATGCAAAATAAATGCTTTTTTCATAACTAGGCTACAAACTTATTGACATATATATATATGTGTGTGTGTGTGTGTATACATACATACATACCTTCCTGGGCTTCAGCAGTACATTGATGAATGTAAGCATCAATAACTCGAATGTCAACGTCTGTACCATTGTCAATATCTTCCAATTTCATGGATAAGTCATTCTAAAATAGAAATACAAGCATGAAATAACATGGTATTTCATATTGAATACTCTAGAAATGTGAGATGTTTAATAGTTGACATTCAAAGTAACTTTATGACAAGTTTTGTCAGTAGAAAGAGTAAAAGGTATATGCTTGCAAAATTAGAGATGGCTACTATATAATTTCTGTTGACAATTGCTCAACTAGTTTTCCGCCTCATCTAATAAATTTAGTGTCTATGTAGCTTATATAAATTTCTCAGAATATTTTTTAAAGTTAAGAAACATGAAAAATTTCCTATACTTTAGCAAAGCTATTAGTTTGCATATTAATCTTGCAAGTCATTAACAATCAGTTTATTTTTCAGTGTATCTAAGTTATTCTCATTAGTTAGTATCTTTCTATTTTGAGAATTGACTGTTGAGTAGACAAAAGCAGTTCATATATACACTGATTGGATGAACTGAAAGTGATATGTCACTGACAGATTCAAATCCTTCACATCTGTCATCTTATATGCGTATGTATTATGTAGATATTTTTATACAGAAATATTTCTATATTCATGTGCATTTTGTTCTTAAGAGTATCAAAAATAAGATTGTGCAACTGAGAGCATTTAGTCTGCTACAAAGAAAAACATGAACTGCTTCTATGTTATAGATTAATGAAATTGGTTGTAAAAAAAAAAAAAAGAAAAAAGAAGAAAGACATGATTTAAAAGTCATATACAGTCATATTACAATTAACCTAATAGACAGGAAAAATATTGCCTATGCAGTAACATAAAAATATTATATAATAAAGAAGAAATGTAAAATTATTTTAAAATTGTTAAAGAGTAAATAAAAAATAATAATACAATATACTAGGTTTGTTTATTACATTCTTTTGAAGGGAGTGTTTAAAAAAAAAAAAAAAAAACATTTATTAGAAGAAGAAAGTTACTAATACAGTTTTGTTAACTTGAAAACTGCTAAAATGAAACCAAACAGGAAAAAATGGCTTGAATAACATTTGATGTGTAACAATTTTTATAGGTCTAATGGTGTTTTTTTTACACCATCAGACTGCCAAAATTTACAGTTTATAAAAAAGATACAAAGAAAATTTTGTTTTCAAAAAGAAAAAGAGGATCAATTTTGATGGTCTCAAGACCTGTTAAAATAAAATTTGCAAACAGGCATGGTTTAAATAGATATATTTTGTGATTTTTAACCAATGGGGAATGTAAATTATAGTATTCAATTTTTAATTCAAGATTTAAGAGCTGATTTGTAGCTATTTAAGAAATCTGATTTATCTGAGAAGGAGAAAAGGGGTTTTGGTTTTCACAGGCCATGGGCTGTTTCTGTTTTGTTTTGTTTTTTGGTATATCAACCTCATTGGGTTATTTAACGCTCAAAAAAATTTTTATTGCTGGTAATTTCTTTTCAAAAAAAATGTATTGCTGGTAATATTTTCCTTTTTCAAAATTGTACTGCTGGTAATAATTTTTCAAAAAAGTATTACTGATAATAAAACCTATGTTTATACTTTCATAGTGTTTTGACCCCTTTTTTTGGGGTGGGTGGGTAACTATTTGCCTATAGTTGGGACCCTGACAGGTGCTACCACTCTGGGTCAGGATGGACCTGGGAACACCAGCAATTAATAGGTGGTTCCACGCTCTTCAAAACCCCGTTGCTGTCAGATGTAGTTTATGGTCTTACCCAAGACATGGATGCAGTTTATCGTTTTACTCAGGAAGCGCTGTTTCCGGGATGTGAACAAAGAAAAACTAAAAGTCAACAATGATAACAATGAAAAGGAAGAAACAGAAGAAAGGTAAGAAGCATAATGAAAAAAATTCTACAAATTTAGAGAAATCTACAATTACCTTTCTATAGTTATTTGTGAAAGTTTGTTACAAAAATTAGAGGTATTAACTCTGATTCCAAATTGATTATGTTCATTTTTTTGATCTCAGTTTGTAAAACTCACCTATTGTCTAAAAAAAAAAAAAAAAAAAAAAAAATACAGACCAACCAGAAACCCAGTACTGCTTGTGAGAAGTCTTCCTTCTCAACTCTTTTTGATAGTTGAATGTATAGAAGTGTTTTTTTTTTGAGCCCAACAGAATTTGGTGCACAAATGAAAATTTTGTGCAGCTTTCTTTTGTAAATTTTGCATTCTGTATTATCATTTTTTTATGTGATTTAATAAATCCTGCACTACACGGTTCCACAGTGCTGCACCAGTCAGTCAGTCCTAAAGTACACAAGACTGCAAAAATCCTATTTATTTTGTCTATATTTATTTCAAATGGCGCATGAAGTCTCTAATCCAAGGGAGATAATTCTAATTTCTTTAGTGTTTATTTTGATTCTATAATTTTCAACAAAAGTTATATATTAATGTCTTTGTTCAATTTTTTATTAACTTTATCTTATAATGCAACAAACCTAACTAGTTCATATGAAATTTCAAGTATAACTGTTTCATCAGTTTTTATTCACAATATTAACGCTGTCAAAATACAATCTCTTAATGAAAATTTGTAAATATTTTTATCTTTTAAAATTCATTTGTGAGATTTTTAATATTTATTTTCTGCTTCTTTAAAAAGATTACCATTAGTTTTAAAGGTTTTAAAAAATAGATGAATTTAACAGAAGTGAGTAAAGTCATTGTTAAAAGGTTATTTTACAAGCAGTTTAATATTACTTGGATTGTATCCAAGTTGGCACAAACTTCATTGAGAGACAAATGCGCTATAACTGGTTTGTGAGATTAATATGTTTAAAAATTGCTTTACAGTTAGCTCTCTAAAAGAAGTTAAACAAAGTCATCCTGTATATGCCATATGTTCAGGGCCTAAATATTGGTAATCTTACCTTCACATAAGTAAAAATGCCAGCAGCTATACGTAGACATTTGTGTACCTCTTTTGCTTCTTCCATTGAAGGACTGCAAACCAAAATAAAAATGATTATTTTACAAATCTCTTCAAGCAAGCAAGTCATGATATATAATAAAGCTCTATATCTGATTGCGTGGGTGTAAAATACAGGTGTGCTTTATCATTCCAATAATAATTATTTACTCCACAGAAAGTGAAGAGATTTCTTTGTTTGCCTTTTTAGTATCTTTTTTTACAATTTATTTTGCTGTTTAAGGCATGATAATTTTTTTTTTTATTCAGCTTAAGATATCATGTATCTCTGTGGTTTGCTTTCCAAAGGTCACTTAATGTTAATCATATGAAATGAGTAACTTCTGTTTTGGGGAACCAATTGTAATGACAAAGGTATCATCTTAACTACTCCTTAAATATATAACAGGTGAGGGAAAATATGTTACATACAACAACGTCCAATGTGAAAGGCAGTGAAATGACAAGGATAAATCTCTACAAGCACCTTCAAAAACTCCATGGAAAAAAGGTAATAATCTGTGTGTGTGTGCTGGAATTGTTGGGTATTATTCATTTAGAGTTTTTAAAATGCAAGAAAAAATTAAATGCACATTTATATGTCCAGTAGCTGTAACATGTTCAAAAAGCACTGTGCTCATCAATAGGAAAAATGTTATTCTCTTCCATGACAATACAAGACAGAAAGAATAACAAGAAAATATTTTGGAATTTGGTTGGTCTGCCATATTCACCTGACCTTTCACCAACTGAGTATTAATTTTTCTAAATGCAAAACACTTTGCTGAAGAAAACTTTCTTTAATGAGAACAAGAGTTTGTCAAAAATGTTCTCACATCACAACCTGTGGGATTTTACTGTAATGATATCAGAGAGCTGCCTGATAAGTGGCAAAGAGTCAATACAAATAATGGTTAATATATAATTGAATAAAATCTAATTATACTTTATTTTTTGAAGAATAAAGTTAATGAACAAAACAGTAAATTATTTATGACTCAACCTATGTATGCATATGTATATATATATATATATATATATATATATATATATATATATATATATATATATATATATATATATATTACTCCTATTATTAGAGCAATAGCCTCAAAATAAAACAGTGATAAAAGATGCTTTTTGACTAAGGAAAGATCTTACACATTTCATCCTCAGCTGCCCTAAATTCGTAACAACACAAAAGAAAAAAGTTTATACCTGCACTTCATTGGCTTTGATTGCTTGCTAAAGGATTTGCCATAGAAATATGCAAACTGTTTTATACATTCTAGGTAATTAGTGAAATACTTTGGGGAATAATAGCCTTACTTAAAAATTACTTATTAAATGTGATCTTCTGACATTAATATCTATAGGAGTCATATAGTACATAGTTCAATTTCTTTTGACTTGGATAATTTTTCTGTGCAAGCAAAAGAATATTGAGATAATGATTATGAATAGTGGTTTATTAAAGAAGAAATCTACTCTTTTCTCATAAGTTTATGAATTGGTATACTAGATAAAAGAATTCATTTCTTTAAGTATGGCAAAATACTATAAACAAAAATGAATTATAAAAGCTTATATGTAGTTAAAATATGCATAGCAGAAGTTTTTTCAAAAACAATTGTTTTTTTTTTATTTATTTTCAACCCTGAAAAATGATAAACTTTTTAAAGAATTGAGTCAGTGTTTTAATAAGTAAATATGTAACTTTTTGCTTTCACTTTTCAGATGAGGAGTTACTTTGATTGTTATCTTTTATGCGCCAAGTCCTTTTAGAACATAAGCGATTTTAGCTCTCCACAACTTCCTGTATTTCGTTGATAAGTATTTTTTTAAATCCTTTTTTATCCCTCCTTGTTCTGCCATTCATTAAGTAAGTCATTTGCCGTTTCTCCTTGCTTCTCTTGCCTTCAATATCCTGTGAGTGTTCTTTTCTCTAGACTCACTTTCTTCATTATGTGTCCCAGAAATTTAATCTATTTCTGATTGTAAGTATAAATTTCTTTGTTGTTCCTAATTTCCTTAAGATGTCTTTGTTTCTCACATGTTGACAGTATTCTTAGCATTTGTTGACAGAACCACATCAGGCCTCTTCTTCACACACAAGGGGTTACAGAGTGTGGAAGAATTAGGAACAGAAACAATAATGATGAGCAGAAAGAGAAGAGAGTAATCAGGTGGACACTAGATAGGAATTGACATTGCATTTAAATTTTTGCAGATTAAAATTGACTGGAAAAAATGAAGCCGAAAGGGAGTTCCGCGAGCAAGAAGCGTAAGAGAAGAAACTATTAGCATAGAATTTATGGCTACATAAAGCTAGCTCAACTGTAAATTGATGAGATCTCAATGCCAGTCTAATGCTGTGCTTAAATTCAAAAAGGCTAGGTACCACAGTGAAGAGTTCAATCCGAACAATTACCATGGAAGTATTTATAGAAAAGAGATAGAGAGGGCAACCTTATGGCAGTGGGAAAGTGACTGCATCCAAGCCAGCAGATCAGGACCAATAATATTGCTAATTCTTCTTTATATTTTATCAAGGAGCTCAAGGTAAATAGCAGGGGCACTGGGCCGTATGTGGTAGCAATATTCTAAGCATAGATGAATGGTAGGCTTATAGATATGTAAGATATATTGTGGAGAGAAAAATTGTCTTGCACAACACAGTGAACCAACTTTCTTAGCAGCTGACTTAGCAAAAGCCATGCTGATAGAAGCCAGTGATGGGGTCTCTCAGATGATTAATGGTGAGAGGTTTAGCTTTAGAGGTGTTAAAATTAATAAACCATCTTTTGCCCCACTTAACGATGGACTTGAGGTTGTTTCAGCCATTGGCTGCCATTTTGACATTGTTGGACTGATAAGCCTTACTATTGAGGCAGGAATAAATTGTTAAAGTCAGAATTATATATATAATATCTCTGATATTGAGCAATTTATCCCACAAATATAGCACACCTTAAAAGTATATTTCTTCATATATATTATATATATATATATATACCAACATCAAGCAGCAACTGAACACTTTTCCCCCTAAATATAGCATACATTAAAACTATTTTTAATCATATATATATATATATATATATATATATATATTATCTCTATCTATAAAAGGCAGGATATGTGTGTGTGTGTGTGTGTGTGTATAACAAATGCATGGCCGCAATTTTTGATGGATTTGCACCAAAATTTACATGCACATGCTCCAAGTTAGTGGGAAGGCCAAGACCAACTTTGCATTTCCCAACTCCCATCGATAGTGGAAATAATCGATTTTTTTCATGCTTCTATGACAGTTTTCATGTAGTTTGCAGCCATTTTCTACTGGCCAGAGTGAGAGCCTATAGTTGGCTGCCACAAATAGGCAGGAAGATTCTATTGGCCAGCATGAGAGCCAACAGCTGACTGACACGAATGTTAGCTAGCATGCAAAAAAAAAAAAAAAAAAAATCGATAGTTGCATTCATCACAAGTGGGAAAATTTTAAATCTGCATGGCACTTTACTCCAATTGGCTCACTCGCTTGCTTAAACTCAACGTTGATTCTGATTCCGCAGAACTGAGTTGGGTGTGAAAAAATATTTGTTAACATTCTTTTTTCATTCGGTTTTTCCAGTTACGAGTGCTTTTTTAAAGTTGATCATTTTGTGTTCATTTTGTTTAGTTCTTTTTTCGTAACAGATTTAATGTTTAGTGTAGAACTTAGGAAAAATTCGCAGTGTGAGATAGGCAAGAAGTAAGGCATGTAGCAACATCAGCATGACAAAGGGCACTCCTTTAAAGGCAAGGAAGAGCAAAAATATTTTAAGTCAAGTGATAGCAATTGCTGTATGGGTCGTACGATTTTTGAATCAAGCACGGGCAACGCTGGGCCATGCTGCTAGTAATATATAAAGAGCAACATTAGAAAATAAGGCAATTGTGAATCTGCACATATGCTAGGCTCTGATAACCTCCTCAATAGGTTTGACAGAGTTGAATACCATACATGATGATGACCTAGTAGATAAAACTATTGGTTAAATATTGCAGTTTGCTTGGTGAGCTCAATCCCTGATTCTGACAAATGAATTTAGAAATAAGAATAAATAAACAAAAATCAATAGAAAAAAATAATTAACTAATATAACTTATCCCCAAACATGGATAATATAAATGAAAATATCTACACCAGTGAATTGAATAAAGAGTGAAGTTTGAAATTCTGAGAATATTACTGACTATAACAGGTATCTAAAGGTCAGATAGTACAAGTGCTAAAATGTTATGACTATAACAGTCAAGATGGAACAACAGTTTCAATATATCAACATATAATAAAATGTATCTTTTCATCTACTTTTTGCATACATTATTTACAAACTCTGAAATAATGAGTTGAGTAATAATGATAATTGTATAATGAATAACAACTGAATGTTGATCTTTCTTTATTCTTAACAAAGCTACTAAATTTTTTTCTCTATAACATACACTACAAAATTTCTTTTCTTGGTTAATGTTTATATATTATCTTTTTATGTTATGAGACATGAAAGTTTCCTTTATGAATAGACATATATGAAAAAAAATTTGTTAAAAATAATTGCATGTGTGTAAATGCATTTAGATTAAGATTTTCTATTAACCAAATATATTAAATAAACTTACTCTTCTCGAGCAGCTAACTTGGCAGCATGTTTAGTAAACCACATTGCTACATTGATGGCCATAGAGGCATGTTCATAAATAGCATCTTTTTGAGCCCTGGAAAACAAAAATAAAGCCAATTTCATAACAGACAATAAAACAAATATTAGATATTTTATTCATAATAAAACCTGAAACAATAAACCCATAATTTGAATAGTAAATATTGCAATTTCAAATTTTATGTTCTTGTCACTAAATGATTCAAGTACAGACATGCTTTATAATTATGAATTTGCTTTCACTGGAAGCTGTCTTAAGTAATATTAAAATCATATCCTTTTTAGTTCACACAAACTGTATAATCCTGATTTATATAAGATGAAACTAGTTATGTTAGGGATTATAAAATTGTTATACATTAAGTTGTGTAGTAAATTAAAAGCTTGCTAATGAGATGTTATAATTAGAATTGTACTAAACCCAAATTTAGACAATGAATTAGAGGTTACTTTCAATGCAATTGACAACTTGCTGTGTTCTAATTATGTAATTTTTTTTGTTTTTATATTCAAAACACACACACACACACATATATATATATATATATATATATATATATATATATATATATATATATATATATATGTATGTATGTATGAGGTCTGTCTGGAAAGTATCCAGTTATTTAATATTAATCAAAAGAAGAAAATAACCTACCTAAGTCAATGGTACCTTATTTCTCTTCAAAATGATTATACATTTATACAATTATTCCAGTATTACTTGCATTTTTCAAAACAGTCTGCAAATTTCCAAATTGCCATTAGCTGTCTCATTGCAATCTCCTTAATCATATTCATGACATTTCAATGGCAATTTTTGCTTTGAGAAAAGTCTGAAATTGCAGATAGCCATCTAGGTGTATGGGTGATGGAATGCTTTACCAAAAAAAAGCATCCTATATTATTTTGATCATTGTCAATATGATATTCCATGAGAGAGTGTCTGTTCATACATAGAAAATATGGTCTCCTTTGATTGGATTTCAAGTCACATCAAGATAACATAAGTTCTTGAGATATTTGAAATGGCTGGATATGTTCTGGACAGAGCTTATATATATCCACAATTCTTATACAAGGATATGTTTTTTTGCATCATGTATAATTATTTATACTGCAAAATTTTCTTGGTCATCCAGTATCTTTGTGAATAAAAGATAGCATGAGATAATATTTTGTTTATAACTATGTATTAGTGAATATTCTATGCATATTGAGACTAGTCAATAAACTGTCAATACACTAGAATTCAAAATATTGAGCATTTTCGTCAGTGTTAAATGTTATTTCATGTCTGAATTACTGAAATAAAAAATTTTCCGTAAGCTTTGATTACAAAGATTTCTTCATGTTTGTTAAGCATTAAGTGAAACCTTTACTGGCCAATAATTCAATTTAACAATTATTTAAAATTTTGTTTGGTCCATTGAATGTGAGAAAAGATTGTAATAGCTACATGGCAATGAATAAGATTCAACAATATGAACAATATTCTCTAACAATATATACGATAAAATAATAAATCCTTTTTTTTTTTTAAATACCTTTGTCACATAAACATAATTTTCTCATATCTATATACACACACATACATACATACATAAATGTGCCAAAACATTAGTGTTGATTTCCATATATTTAAAAAAAAGGACTTTATTTACACACACACACAACAGCAACAAAAATTGAAAATTAAGGAATTTCTGTAAAATGTAAGAATGAAATCTTCTTACAACAATTAACAACATATAATGAAAGAAGTTAGCAATGCCATACAATATTAGGTTTGAATTCAATGGAGAGAGGAAACCTATGATTTACACTCATCATCACCCATAACAATAAGTGCTTTTATATGCTTGTAAAACTTATGATATTTAAGATTTACAAGAGATATACTTACACTGAAGATTTTCCCATAAGTGTGTTGGTCCATCTGAAAAGTATTGCCTTCCGCAATTTATTTTCATCACCACCATCTTCAAAGGGTGTGTATAAACCTTGGAGCAAGCTGAAATACTCATTGTACGCCTTCACGATAGTTGTCTTATCATGACCGGGGTCCGTGAGCAGTTCAAGCAAATGATCCCGGGTTCGTCGCAAATCACTAGAGATAAGATGAATAAAGAAAATAATTTTGGTTAATAGAAAAACTGAGAAGCTTGCAGTCAAAATTAAGCAGAACGGCTAATTATGATAGTAATTAGCATTTAAATGATTTTATCACTTCTCTCTTGCCTGTAAACCACTCACTGCAAAGTAAGTAAGGACTAATTGATGTAGCTCTATTTGTCCTTCATCATTACCTGCTTGACGTGTGATTGATATGTTTTTTCATTATCTTACCTTTAAAATCAACTTTGCATTTTACATGATAAAGGATAAGTTTGGAATAAAGCTGTGACTATGATTCTCTTCCAGTGGGATAAAAGGGGTCAGCTCTAGAAAATATGCAGCTAAATAGGATAAATCAAAATCTTGTGTATCAATGTCAATTTCTATGTATCTCTCATGTTATACACAAAGCTCAAAAACTTTGAAAATTCAAATGGATTTTTATCTAAATTTCTGAGATAAGGAGTTATTATTTACAGCTGGACTAATGTCGTCATCTTTGTTGTTATGATCACAATGTTTTGGTCATTGTGGCCTCAAGCATCTTCCACAATATGTCAAATTTCTTAGTTCTAGCTTCAGGATCGTTCCACGACACAATGAGAGAGGATTAAAGTGCTAGTTAGTGAATTTGGTGACATAATTGTGAGATCAATCCCTGGATAGACTCAGTGAAAACATTAGCAATAACTGAGCAATTAGCCAAAATGGGATATCCCTAAACATGGACAATAGAATGAGAACAATCTAACCTTGTAAATTGGATAAAGACATCAGTTAAAAATTCCCTGAAGGTTACTCATTAAGAAAAGTTAAATTTTATGCTTTTCTTTTAAAAAGTTTTCTCTCTCTCTCTCTCTCTCTATTATATATATATATATATATATATATATATATATATAGTACAGGTAATTGATCCATTGGAATATAATCTGGGTGGATCCTAGTAATATTAGTTATTAAAACTGATCCACAGAGAGCTCAATGTATTTATTATAACAGAGCATATGTATTTTTTTTTTTACAGCAAAAAGCCCAAAATTACCTCAACATAGAAGATAGCCATGTACAGAATGGCTTGAAATAGACTATCATCAGCCGCTAAGTGGCTGTCTCGGAGCATTGTTTTAAATTTATTTTCAATGTCAGTTCTCCTCTGGTAGATGCCTTGTTAATGAGAATGGGTTTGTGTTAGCGATTGGTGGGGTCGTAAGGTATCTTATCCTGGGGGAAGCAGTCTAGGGTTGGAGTTTATTTATGGTGAGGATTTTTTGTTATTTGTAGTTTAATATCAGTTCCTACTATGTGGCGTTTCTTATATGAGACTCAAGTGTGTTTTTCTGGGATTCACAGTAAATAGTTTTTGTACAACAGGTGTCCAATATTATTAATAAGCGAGGGGGATTTAAACTTAAACCCGTTAAGATTAATGTAAATTAGTTGAGTTATAGATTTATAGATTGTGAGTAATACCAGAGCACCCAATAGAATAAATCATGCTGTCCAACATACTTATATGTGTACATATCTTCATACATACATATATATACATTTACATGTCCATACATACATGCCATTTGCCATAGAGAGAACGACTCAAAGGCTGGATGTTAGAATAAAGCAACAAGTTCCAATGAAAATCCGCAATCTTAAGTAGACCCCTTCAGACATTCTGACCAATACACATGGATCTTCCATCGCAGAGCACCTAATGAATAGCCATAATTGTGCTACTAGTTTCAGTGTGGACTCATTTACCATTCTTAGCAAGTCCCACTCAAATTACCACTTAAAAGTGTTAGATGTCCATACATATATGCCACTTTTTTTATACATAGGGAGAATGACTCAAAGGCTGGATAGTCTCTTGCCGTGCGATGATAGCCTAGGGGTAGAATCTTTAACTGATACCAAATTGGTCTGGTTTTGATCCCAGCTTAAAGCAATCGGATGTCTAGCCACACTGAAGAGCTGTGATACAGCAAAACAGTCTGTGGACGACACACACACACATATATATAAGTCTCAAACACTAATATTCCATGGTTATAATTTATTACATTGGAATCGTAATCATGATCCAATTCATCAGACCTACAAATTCAAAAAAATTGGATTTCTTTTTAAATTTGTAGGTCCGATGAATTGGATTGTGATTATGATCCCAATGTAATAAATTATAACCATGGAATATTAGTGTTTGAGCCTTTTATATCATATTCTTGCTCTATCCTGGACATTGAGTTCTATCTGGATTCTATCCTCTTGGAAATTTATATATATATATTACAAATAAATAACTTCATTCTGTTTCTTACTTCAATTTTTTTTTTTTTTTCATTTAAGTTCAAAAGAAAAGAGGGTGTTGAAATCTAATCCATTTATCAGCCTAATCCACTTCCCAAAATCACTATTTTAATGAATACAGATTTTGGAAAAAGAGAACTTTTCAGTACCACCTCATAATGTAGTCCAGACAACAATGCAAATTTTTAGTTAATAAAAATTTATGAGAGATGCTTATTCATAACAAATATTGTAAATACTAAGGAAATCCCTTGTATATGAATTAAATCAATGTTATTTTTATAATACTGCAAGAAAGTTAAATTTATTTTTTTATTTTTAAAACTGTTGTAAATTAATATTTAAATGGAAAACTAAGGGGAAAAAATCTTAATAAAAGTGAATGAACCAACTTTACTATTTTTAGATGAGAGGCTTCTTGATATTCATTTGGACAAATGGAATTGCTTGTTAGGGATGAAACTATTAATAAAAACAGCAGCATTTTTAAGATTTCAGTAAATCATCAAAAGTTCAGTATTATTGCTAAATTTTAGGAGAGTTTGTTTTGATAAATTTTAAAAGTGAGTTTATTACTTTATTGTATTTGTAGCTGACCAATTTCTAAGCTAAAATAGGACATCTTTATTAAAAACTATCCAATGTTAAGAGCAGGAATTTTCAACTGCTAAGTCACTAACAGTGACTAATTTCTTCTTAGCTGATAAGTCTGAAGCTTCATGGTGATCTTTAATAAAGGTCTCCATACTTCTGACCAGAAAGGATATTAACAAAATGATGACAAAGTTTTTTTTGTTTTTTTTTTATAATAAGCCTGTTTTCATTAATATTTTACTTTTAAATCCTGTTAAATATAGAAATTAAGCTAAAAAATGTATTCTGTAATTAAAGCCCAGAAAACTTATATCTATGGAAAGATGCTATTTTGTGTAACAAATGTTAAACCTACTGATGGGAAAAGTGTATATACAAACTTTGACCTTTATTTACAAACCAATTTTCAGGAAATGAGACCAATTTCTAACTTAAAATAGGACATCTTCCCTATTAAAAACTATCCAATGTGAACAGCAGGAATTTTTGAATGCTAAGTCAGTAACAGTGACTAATTTCCTCTTAGCTGACAAGTCTGAGGCTTCATAGAATGGGTAAAGCTTATTACAAAACAATTTATAAACTTGAGGAAGTGACAGGAAAGAAAAACCGTGATGCTATCCAAGTTTCATTATAATTTCAAGGGTGAAACAAAGAAAGAGACTGATATAAATCTTTTATTTCTAATGATTGGTAATAAGAAATATGTCAGAATTGTGATATTTACAGAATAAACAAATGGAAATAATATAGTTCAATGCAAAAAAAAAAAAAAAAAAAATGCATCTACCTCTTGATTTGCTTGAAAAGAAAACAAAAAATTGTTCAAACTTTATTTTAATATAGTCAGATTTTATAGTAAATTTTGAAAATACAAAGCATAAAATATGAATAAAACTTGGTAATTTGTGATCTTGTGGAGTTAAATACAAATGTGTTAGTTATAAAAGAATATGTAGAATCTAACAGATAAAAATTCTAAAACTAGATTCAAAGTTAATGTTGAAAAATAACCCTGAGTTATTTAAAAGATGGGATTGAAGGAACAATTTCTTTTTTTTTTTGCAATTTTTTCCAGATACAAGTCCTCCTATTTAACCCATAGTTGAAGGAAGGAGATACATTTACACCTTTCCCAAAAGGTATGAAATCAAAGTTAAAATTACAGATAAACAAATATTTTCACTAGGACGTACAAAAATATTTAAAATATTATCAGCCACTACTTTGTGAGAAAGATTGAAATTCATGACTGAATCTGCAACCCAAAATCTTAATTAGAAAAAAAAAAAATACATACATTTTAATTATTTGCTTTAATTTCCTTATATCTGTGTGGCCCCATTCCTTTAAGATGAATTTAGTAATAGTAATAATTTCATGTTATATTCTGTTCACTACAATAATTGCACTGATTAAAAGCCAAAACTTAAGCTACTTAAATAATCTTTGAGCCCTCTACATTGTCATAGGATTAAAATATTCTTTCACAAGCAAAACATAAGTTACTTAATCATGTAACCTTTTTTTAAACAGGTTATCTCCCTATGAGTAAAAATGCCAGGTGACATACATGCACAACTACTTATTGTAAACAAAAACGTTGCAGCATAATCATGTTATTTTTGGAAGATTGCCAGCTGCACAAGAGAGAATTCATTACCAGGGTTTATTTTATCTAAATAACAGCATTTCAACTTTTAACAATACTGGAAAACAAGCTTTAAAATTGAAACATTTAATACTATGGTATTATTAATAGAAAAAATAATATTTAACCAAAGACTTGGAGTATAAATTTCATGTGTAAAAATAACATTAAAACTCAACTGCAAAAATTTTAAATTGCTGAGAAAGGAAAGATGTTATTTATGGAGTACAGCTATTTTATTGTTTTATTTTTTTTTTTTACTATCAGCTTCAATTATTGTATGCATAATATACTTGTGCTATCCAGGATGTCAATAAAAAAAAAAGTAAAACTGAGCATTTCTATAACAAATTTTGACATTATTTTTGAAAAAAAATTATATATTGCAAGAATAAAGCAAAATACTTCAGAATATCATAAATTAAGTTAATAATTATTTA